AATTTGTAGGCTGATAAATGATAGAAGTAATATACAGTTTAAGAAATAAAAATAGGGTATCTATTTCAAATACATCCACAATAATAATGTTTGATGTAATAAAAATGTCAGATTCAAAATAAATCCATTAATTCTTTAAAAATATAGTGTAATATTTTTTTTTAATACTTTCACTTAATACAAGGCTCAAGAGATACTCACAATAGAGTTATGATGATGTGTATGATATGAAAAGAGGAGGTATGAAGAAGTGGAGAATAAATATCTCTTATATATATATATATATATATATATATATATATATATATATATATATATAGTAAGGTAATGAAGGGTTTGGTAATCCGTGCAGATAACTCCAAAGAGAATGTAATGCAGAGAGCTCAATGTAACACCAGAACAAATATTAATTAAATAATCAAGAAAGAGACAAGCTTAAAGCCACTTTTGTAACTAGAGATGTGACCTGATGAACCAGGAAAAATATATTTTCTGGGGAAATAAATTATAGTCATGGAACCTTAATTATATATATATATATATATATATATATATATATAGAGAGAGAGAGAGAGGGAGAAAGAGGGTAAAAGAATGTGTACAGTACTATGCAAACAGTCTTCAGACACTTGAAACTAAATTTCTAATACAGAGGTTGTCCAAAGGGATTTCAAAATTTAATTCACAATACCATAGTATTATATAGTGTAGATATTTGGAAATATATTTCAGTAGCTGAAAAAGATTACATCTTTTAAGTGGAAACCATTTTTAGCTTTGCATGGAATGTGCACTTTCTAAGACATTTTTCATTACATTAGTCAGTGTTTCAGGCTCTAGTGCTTTGATGTCTTTCTGAATTGTTGAGGAAATCTTCTGCAACTGCTGATGCCAGTGGTTGAATAAAAAGTCATCTCTTGCATATTTATGATGATTCTACAGGACTAAAATTTTTAATAAATAGCAGTGCACAAATTGTGCTTACTGCCAACTACTAATTCAGATAGACTTAAAGGAGTTGATAAATTAACATTGCAGACAAGTTTGTCATTAAAACTTATAGCCAAAAACAAATTGTGCTTGATTTAGGCCTAAGGCAAAACTTTGGAACATTTTTTGTTATCACTGATATTGATAAACCCATTTTAGGAGCCAGTTTCCTCGATTATTATGCTCTACTTATAGATACTTATAGATATCAAAAAGGTGTTGCCTTAGAGACCTCCTGGTACAGGAATGGTCCACAGTATTGTAGTACCATGTCTAGCTGTAGTGAGTACTTCATGTGATTCATATTACATAGAACTATTGAGGGATGTCCCAAATATTGTGAAACCTAATTTTCATAAGGAATGTTTTGATCACAATGTGACTCATCACACTGTCACTAATCATCCACCTGTACATGCAAAACCCAGGTGTTTGCCACCTGAAAAATGAAAATATGTGAAAGAGGAGTTCAGTCAAATGATGCAGCTGGGAATCACTCTTCCTTTTTGTAGCAATTGGCCCTTGCATTTAGTTTCAAAAGAGAACAATGAATTTCATGTGTGTGGTGATTAACACACACTTAATTCTATCACAAAACCTGAGAATTTAAGAATGGTTTTTCAAAGACTGAGAAATATGGAAAAGTAACTAATCCAATTAAGTGCGAATTCGGAAAGACAGAAGTTACATATTTGGGCCAACTTATAAGTGTACCTGGAATTTCTTATTCTCCTACTAAGACCAAGGTGATGCAACAATTCCCAGTGCCCACAAACATGAAACATTTATGATAATTTTTAGGCATAGTAAATTTTTTGTCAATACTTTGTACATAATTCTGTAAGTATCCTCTAACCTCTTACTAATCTGCTAACAAATGTAAAAGAAATTTGATATTCTAGTGTCCGGTGATGCACTGACTGCATTTAGTAATATTAAAGCTTCGCTAGTAAAAACTATTGAATTATCACATGTTTTTCCTGATATAGAATTGTGTTTGGCAGTCTATGCCAGTTCTGTTGGAGTTGGAGCAGTATTGCCACAAAAAGTTTCTGGTTATTGGAAACCTATTTCATTTTTTCTTCCAAAAAGCTAACCAATATTTAGTGTAGATACAGAACATTTGGAAGAGAACTATATGCTACTTACACATCTGTTTGTCACTTCAAGCATTTCCTGGAAGGGAGACATTTTTTAGATTTTTATGGACCACAAACCACTTGTTGGTGCATTCTGGTCAAACACAGAGGAGTATTCTCCAAGAGAAATACAACAGCTTGACTACTTGCTAAAATTTACCTCCAGCATCAAACGTCTGAACGGAGTTGAAAACATATCTGCAGATACTATATCCGGGACCATTAATTCATTTTTGTTGGATCCAGGGACAGAAACAACAGAATTTGTGGAGGAGCAGCTTAAAGATCAGCAACTGAAGAAGCTACTCAAAGACAATACAACCTCACTGAATTGTGCAAAGTTACGTGTTCCTGACTCCAGCCTGTATATTTTGTGTGACACCAGTACTGAGAGAATACGCCCTTTTGTTCCTGAGTCATTGTGCTGTATTGTTTACTCCAATCTTCACGACCTGTCTCATCCTGGTGCTAACACTTCTGTCAAGTTGTTCACTAAGAGATATATTTTGCCTTGGATGAAGTTGGATATTTGACTATGGTTGAAAGCTTGTGTACATTGTCAGAAAGCTAAAATTGGAAGACACACACTGATACCTGTTGATCCTTTCCTGTCTCCAGATGAACAATTTGAACATGTATACATTGATATCCCTGGTCCTTTACCTTCCTGTGAAAGTGCATATATATATATATATATATATATATATATATATGTATGTATGTATGTATTTGATAAAATTAAGAGATCAGCCGATCATGCTACCTTGGTTTCAAACTTTCAGTATCTTCAAGTGATTCAGGCTAAATAATTTGCTAACACTTTACTATTTAAAAATAATAAATAAACGTATAACAAGGGGAGGAGAAAAGCAAGGGTATTGAAATTTTATCGGAGGTGGGGGTGTATGAAATGTTTTCATTCTGGTTCAAACAAACTCAAAAACAATCTTTTTGTGTGCAAGTATCATGTCATTATTTCTGATCTTTCATTCAAAAATGTTTCTCTGGTTTGGAAATGTTATTATTGTATATATTATATATATATATATATATATATATATATATATATATATATATAAATAATTATTTTTAAAAAAAAAAAAATTTATGACATAAATATTTTTTTTTTTTTTTTAAGCGTTTCACCCCAAGCAAAGGCGGGAAGCCAATAGGACGCAAGGGGTTACAATTTTTCCTTTTTTTTCTGATTTTTCTTTCGAAATGGGATTTCAAACTAAACCATCATGTTATAAAATCACTACAAAAATAGCCATTTTGTTTCAACACCCTCGGTGTCTTATCATGAAACAAAATGGCTATTTTTGTAGTGATTTTATAACATATTTATGTTATAAATTTTTTTTTTTTTTATAAAAAATAATTATATCTGCTCTACTTTGTATTGAGCACTCTTTTAAGAATAGTAATTGTTGGTTATTGGAATTCATTCCATATACACCAATTATATACTTGGGCATATATATATATATATATATGTATGTATGTCTGTCAAAGTGGAAAAAGTTTTTGTGTGATGTCTTTCATCCTTTAAAAGGACAAAATATCTCAGACAAAAACTTTTCCACTTTGTCACACATCTTTCTCCCTAAATTGTTCTTTATATATCAAATTTATATTTCATTATCCCATAAATATATTGTAGTACTATACAAACAGACTTAAGGGATTGAAAACTCATATAAATTTATCATAAATGCTGACTTGTTATTAAGTACCTGGTACTGTGTCTTTTGCAGATGAAATTATAGCATGTCTCTGAGTAAGCTCCATATCTAATTATCATGTTTTGAAGTAGTCTTTAAGAAAGTATGAGTTGGGAAATGTAAAACAAGCCACAAAATGTCTATGCAAAAATTTCTAGTTATGTTTTTTCTGCCTAAAGGTTATATGGCTAACAGGTTATTTGTTTTGTTTGGTACAGAATTTAAAAAAATACAATTATATTTTCACTTTGCATTCTGTCATTGTGTGAAATTCACAAGAAACCAGAATAATGAGATGGCAAAGATAAATAAGTTGTTGTTTGGAAAGTTGGAGTTTCAGTAAGTGACATCTTGAAAATGCACTGAAAGCTTTCAGCCATTTTCTTTTAGAACAAGGAAGATATCGTTGCCACAAATCTCAGTCAAAAAGATGTGGTTCCCCTAAATCTCAACCAGAAAGATGTGGCACAAATAGATGTTGTTGCACCAAATCTCACTTATGAAGTTCTGGTGGCCCCAAATCAAAGCCAAATAGTTGTAGTTGCCTTGAATCTCACACCCCAATAGATGTGGTTTACCCCAAATCTCACTAACAAACATGTGGATGCCCCAAATCTCAGCCAAGAAGACATGGGTGCCCTAAATCTCACCCATAAAAATGTGGTGGCTCTGAATCTTGCTAAGAAAATTTGGTTGTTTCAAATCTCAGCCAAAAAGATGGTTGGCCCAAATCCCAAGCAAAACGATATGATTGTCCCAAATCTCACCCACAAAATGTGGTTGCCCCAAATCTCACCATCAAACATCTGGTTGCCCCAAATAATAAGCAAAAAGTTGTGTCTGCTCCAAATTTAACTCCCAAAACTGATTACTTCAACCAAAAATATGTAGTAGCCTCAAATCTCATCCCAAAATTTGTTTTATCCTGCATCACAACCAAATGATTTGCTTCCCTCAAATCCCACTAAAATGATATGCTTGCTACAGATCTCACCCCAAAAGATTTGGTAATACCATATCTCACATAAAATGTGTTTCCCCGAATATCACACCAAAAAATTGTTGTTGACTCAAATCTTACTGAAAAATGTGTTTGCCCTGAATCTCACCCCAGAAGATATAGTTGCCTTAAATCTCATCCAAAAACATGTGGTTGCCCCAAATCACCACTGAAAAAGTCGTGATGACTCCAAATTTCAACCAAGAAGATATGGCAGCCCAAAATCCCACCTATAAATATGTGGTTGCCTCAAATCACAAGCAAAAATATGTGGTTGTCCTTAACCGCACTCAAAAAGATGCAGTTGCCCTGAATCTCATCCCAAAAGTTGTGATTCTCTCAAATCTCACTCTCACAGATGAGGCTCCTCCAAATTTCATCCAAAATGTTGTGGCTATCCCAAAGCCCCCAAGAAAAGATTTGCTTGCTCCAAATTTGTCATTACCCTAAATTTTAACCAAAAAGATATGGCTGCTTTGAATTAAACACAAAAATTTGTGATCACTCCAAATCTCACTCACAAAGATGTGGTTGCCCTGAAAAAAATACAAAATTTGAGTTTGCATCAAATCTCAGCTAAACAGATGTCGTTTCCCTGAATCTCATCTAAAACTTTGTTGTTTGTGACAAATATCAACCAAAAAAGTTGTGGTTGCCCCATACCTCAACCAAAAAGATGTGACTGCCCAAAATCTCACCCCAAAACATGTGATCACTCCAAATCACAACCAAAAAGATATAGTTACCTCAAATCACAAGCACAAAGATGTGCTGGTCCAAAATCTCAAACCTTGTAATAACCACAAATCTTAAACAAAAATATATGAGGATGCCAAATCACAGCCAAAATTATATGCTTTCCCGAAATCTCACCCACAAAGATAGTGTTGCCCTGAATCTCATCCAAAAGTTTGGGTTGCTTCAAATCCCAGCTAAAAAGATGTAGTTGCCCCAAATCTCACCTACAAAGATGAAGTTGCCATGAATCTCATCAAAAAAGATATGGTTACTCTAAATTTCAACTAAAAAAATGCAACTGCATCAAATCTCAACTGAAAAGATACATCTGCTTCAAATCTCAAGAAAAAAGATGTGGTTGACCCAAGTCACACCCAAAATGATGTGGTTGACCCCAAATCTCATGAAATAGATTCTGAGCAATTATAATTTTTTGGTTGCGATTCAGTGTAACAACACATTTTGGATCAGATTTGGAGCAACCATATCTTTTGGTTGAGATTTGAGGCAACCACAACTTTTGGGGCAACTTAATCTAGGTCTGACTTGGGGTCACCACAATTTTTAGGGTGAGATTTGAAGGAACCACATTGTTTTGCTTATGATTTGCAGCAACCATATGATTTAGGTGAGATTTGCACCATGATGTGTTTTTACCCAAAATCTCACCCATAAAGATATGGCCATCTTAAATCTAACCTTTGTGTTGTATTTACACCAAATCTCAACTGTAATGATGTGGTTACCCCATATCTCAGCAAAAACGATGTGGCCTCTCGAAATCTCAACCAAAAGGTGTTTGCACAAAATTTCATTCAAGTGCTATGGTTGCCCAAAATATCACCCACAAAGGTATGATTGCCCCAAATCTCAATCAAAAAGATATGGTAGCCCTGAACAGCTGCAGTATAGAAAAGAGTAGAAACTTATCAGAATAACCAAATCTAATCTAAAAATAGTTGAAAGGAAGTGATGTATGAGTATAACTTTACTAATTTGGTGTCAGGAGACATCAGTCAGTAAGTATATCCTTCAAGATTGCTGATTGAAGAAGAATGTTATGACTTAGGAATCAGGCTTAATCAAAAAATTACATTGATCTCAGAGGAATGAACTGTGGGGGTGCAGATGTCAGGAAGAAGATTATAGTAAGCAATTAAATTAACACAGAGCTGAAATCTAATCAAAAAATTTTGTCAGAAGATGTCCACCTAATTGAAATGACCCACATAACATGATTAAAGAAATGAAGTGTTTGGGATTCAAGCTGATGCATTAAAGATACCTAAAAAGTGATGACTCAAGAAAGTTGATTAAAATATAATAAAGTTGTACAGAAAACTTCTTGGATTAGGTAGAAAACAAGTACAATGTTACTTTAATGAATACATATTTCATATATTATTTAAATTGATGATACAATCATAGTCTAGGATTGTTGTAATATTATGCTGTAAGTCCTAACTTGTAGAATTTTAGATATCTTTTGAGGATAAGAGCAAGATTTTTCAGTATGCTGTAGTTTAATCCCAAAGATGGGTGCAACACAATTGAATTTAGCTGATGAAGGTGTTACTGTCATGAAAGATGAGATAGCTTGTTGAGCAAATATGAACAAATTAAAGAGCAGATTTTGTCAGGAGAATGCACACAACATTCAAAGAAATGGGAACTCAGCAACAAAAAGGAATCTCATGGTGAATAATTTGTATGGTTCCTTTTTTTTCAACTGAAATAGTTATTCCCATTAACCGAAGCTTCAAATAATATTAACAATGTACAGAACATTCTTGGAATAAATATTATGTTATAATTTTACTCTTCATTTGAAACATTGCATCTGACTTGGTTGAAAACTTTTTAATGACCAATTTTGGAGTCATTTCAAATTTAAAGCCCTTTTGATTCAGAAAGTTTGATGCAAATTAGGTATGAAAATAACCCCAAAAAATGACCAAATATATCACCTGTAAAATATGTATTTATTATCTGACAGTTATGAGAAACTTACAATAATTTAAAGTGGATAAACATTTCTGCATCATACCATATATATATGTATGTGTGTGTGTATATATATATATATATATATATATATATATTAAGCCCGACAATTATTATATTTTTTTTTATGCATTACGCCCCAAGCAAGGCATGAAGCCACTAGGATGCAGGGGGTTGCAGAAAATTTGGAGCAAGAGCAGATAGGAGTGATAGAAGAAAGGAGAGGGATAGTGGATAGATCAAGGTAACTGGAGATGTCAATTGACATTACATTTGAATAGTTGGAGTTTATAGCTCTCAGGGAAACAGTAATTGGGAAGGGTGTTCCACAGCTGAGAGGTGCGAGGTATGAAGCTATTGGAGAAGAAGAGACGACTACATTTAAAAGTTTCTACAGTGTAGGGGTGGGAGCAGGATGCCAGCCTTGTAGGGCGCTTGAATTCATGGAGTCTGGAAACCAGTGAAAGCAGCTCATCGGAGCAATTACCATGAAAGTATTTGTAGAAAAGACAGAGAGAGGCGACGGCATGTCTGTGAGAGAGTGACTGTAGATGAGACACCAGATCAGGGCCAATTATATTACATATCCGTCTCTGGATCTTGTCAAGAACTCCGAGGTAAACAGAAGGTGCCCCAGACCATATATGGCAGCAATACTCCATGCAATGGCAAATGGTTGACTTGTATATTTGAAGTATCGATTCCGGGGAGAAAAATTTCCATCTCAGGTCAGCAGTCAATGTGAGACCGAGCAGACGCAGGGAGTTGCTCTCAAGAAGTTGACTATCAGACATTCTAATGGGGGGCAAGGAAGGATCTCTATGGTGATTAATAGAGAGTAGTTTAGTTTTTGAGGTGTTAAAGTTGACCAGCCAATTCTTGCCCCAATTAACAACCGATTGGAGGTCCATTTCAAGACGCACGGCCAGGTTAGTTTTGTCAGCGACTCTAGATTTGTTTTTGAGGCAGGAGTAAATTGTAGTGTCGTCCGCGTAGATGCCAACTTGGGAATCTATGGCGTCAGGAAGGTCATTGAGGAAAATAAGGAATAGAGTGGAGCCAAGGATGGAGCCTTGGGGAACACCTTCGTTCGTGGGATAGGAACTGTAGGAGAATCCGTTGAGAACGACCTTCAATTCATGGTTTGACAGGAATGATTGTATTAGGTCAAATAATCAACCTGTAATACCATAACCCTGGAGCTTACGAAGAAGGCCGGCATGCCAAACCCTATCAAATGCTTTGGAGATGTCTAGGGCCATGGCATGAGCCTCACCATTGTTTTGAAGGGCTTGGAAGACGGTTTCAGTGATGGCCGTAAGCACATCAGCTGTAGATTGGGCGTAGCAGAAACCATATTGCTTGTCTGAGAGCAGATCATAGGATGTAAGGTGGTTAACCACTTCGGCATTGATTAGGGCTTCAAAGACTTTGCTGAAGAGGGGTGGGAGACTAATAGGACAGTAATTAGAGGGGTCAGAGGGGTCTCCAGAGTTCTTAAACACAGGAACAATGGATGAGGACTTCCAGCAGTCAGAAAAACAGGATTCCTTGAGGCAGTAATTATACAGTTTAGAGAGGGCGGGCGCTAGCTCAGGCGCGCATTTCTTCAAGACAATGGCTGGTATGCCATCTCCACCACTAGCCTTGTGGGGGTCTAAATTGGAGATAATGCCTAATACCAATGACAGGGTTATGTGTAAGCTGCTCAATAGGGCCTCAGTTCTTAGAGGGAAGTCTGGTATGGGTACACCGGAGGAGTCGAGTGTTGAATTAAATGAGAATTTCCGAGCAAAGCATTCAGCCTTGTCGGTAGAGGAGGTCAATACCTCAAACTGTTTGAATAAAGGAGGTATGGAGGGTTTTCTATTGTTCAGGACACTCTTGCAGACCTGCCAATAATCTTTGGAGCTAAATTTGCAAGATGAAATATGCTCCTTCATCCGAGTAGCAAATATTGACTTAGCTTCATTGAGGACACACTTACACTCATTACGGGTGGAGGCAAAGAGACATCTATTGCAGTCCGACATGTCACTACGCAAGCAGCGGAGAACCAAGGGGAGGAGTGCGACTTGACCTTAAATTTCCTTGAGGGGATGAAAGCGTCAATTCCAGCTTTAACCCAGGATGAGACCTCAGAAGCACATTCTAGGACAGGGAGTGTAAAGACAACATCCCAGGGGACATCGCGGAGGAAGACACGGAACGAATCCGAATCCGCTCATTGATAGTAGAACATGGTTCTAGTGATGGGAGGTTCTTTGGGGGGGGGGTGAGTTGAAGGAAATGTTAACAGATACTACAGCATGATCGGAGTTACCAAGAGGGCAGAGCTGTGTGGTGCTACAAGATTAAGGGATGGAGGTAAAACACAGATCGAGAAGGGAGGCCTTACCTACCAGGTTGAGGGCAAAACGCATGGGGAAGTTAACTATCTGCGTGAGGGATTGGGAAATTGAGAAATTAAGTGTTTGAGTGCCAGCCCGGTCAGTAGTAGCATTCTTGAGCCACTTGGTATGATGGGCGTTAAAGTCACCAAGCACGAATATGTGAGCAAACAGGTGGAGAGAGAGGGCCTTGTCTATGCTGTCAGATGTGCTATTGAGTATCCCACAGTCTTGAGTGGATGGAGAGCGATAGAGGAAGAAGAGATAGCTTACGGCATTGAGGAGAGATAGTCAGAGACACATGTACGAATGGTCTGGCGATTCAAGAGACAACTCTCTGGCCAGAGGGAGATGGTCCTTGACATAGACACCAAGGCCATGCATGTGGGTTAGAGAGTCTTTCCTGAGGAGAGGAAGGTAGCCGGGGATCGAGAGATCAGAGGAGGGAATAGACAAGACAAGGTTTGTCTCACACAAAGCCAGTATATCCGGGTAGTTTACAGTGAGGAAAGATTCCATACTGCAGAAATTTGTTCTAATATTACGGATGTTGGAGAATGAAATGTTGAGGGGTTTAGGTGATTTTTGAGGGGCTTGTTTAGGTTTACTTTTTTGGTTCTTTTGAGTCTTCATGTGGAGTAATTGTTGGAAGATGAGAAGGCCTGAAGTAATAGAAGCAGATGGTTTTCAACCGCAACATGAGCAGAGAGGAGTTGGCACAGCCTGCATCATAATGTGGCCTCAGGGTTGCCCACCAAAGGTGACTGCAGGGACACCTTTCCATGCGCGTCATGGCACTACAAACACCCCAGTATTATACAACTGTTGATCAGTCGGAAACAGCAACCAGTGAACTGTCAACCGTGTACCCTCAAAATGAAGAGGCAATGCCACAGCCTGCACACGTCACAGGAGAAACACATCAGCACTAGTACAGAGGCCAGAGAGTGTACCGGGAACCCCTTCTTAGACAAGAAACAAGGTGTGAGCCTCTGCTTATGCCCAGGAAAAGGGGGAGGAGTGTTGACCGGGTGGTAGGAGGATCTACCTACTCCTATTACATATAACACATACGCCTTCAACAAAAAACAAACAGTTAAATATATTGTCTGTTTATACATTATTTGTTGGAGGACACATATTTTCTATGAGATTTCTCGGACATTCAGGCCAGAAAATGTTGTTAATACTGTTTATTATAGACAGAGCATTTTCATAAATATTTGTATCTATAAAAATAACATACAAACAGAAAATATATTAAGATAATTGTCAGACTTAGTCCATTTCATAATATATAATGTCATTTGTTTATATTAAAATACTCTTCAACAAGTAGATATACATGTGTATATATATATATTTATATGGGGTGATTGAAAAGTAACTCCCTATTTTTGTGTATGATGGAATCTCCATCTAACTATAAATTTTACAAGACAGGAGAGTCCATCATACATAAAATAGAGAGTTACTTTTCAATCACCCTGTATATATATATATATATATATATATATATATATATATATATATATATATACAAGTGCATCTCCAAAATGAGAGAATAACTTGGAAAAGTTAATTTTTTCTTCTTTAATTTAAAAAGCCAAACTTTCATATATCCTAGGTTCATTGCATATAAAGTAAAACATTATAAAACTTTTACTTTTATTCCCGTTACAATGTGTAGCTCATGAAAATAAAAAACTCAAAAAATCGGAATATTTCATGATGGTTCCGTGTAGGATACAAGTTTGATTTCCTGTCGGAGAACACATATGTTCTACAAAATTTTTCAGTCATTCAGGCCAGTAAATGTAATTAATACTGTTTATTATAAACAGAGCATTTACTTAAATATTTGTATCTATAAAAATAACGTATAAACAGAATATATATATATATATATATATATATATATATATGTGTGTGTGTGTTTGTGTGTGTGTGTGTGTGTGGCTTGATGCTCATGTTGAAGCATGAAACCGATTGTTGCTGCTAGGTGTTGACCTTAGTGTCCACTTTTATATTTACATATGCTCTATCCCTGATATTGAGTATGATAACTCATAAAAATAGCATACCTTAAAACTATATTTTTTATTATATATATATAAGCATATAATTATAAAATATACAGGTCAACAATCTTTGTTGTCATGATCAATGTAAATATCAGGAACAGTTTTATTGAAAAAACTATAACAAATGTAAAATTACCCGGTAATCTTTAAAATTTAAGAGAAATATTCTAAGCAATCTAATATTTTATTGAAATTTACATGCTTTGGCTTCATAGCCTTACAAATATACTTGTTTAGGAAATCTTAGAAAATTACCAATAAATTTTAAATTTACTATAGATACTGCTATTACTTTCTGATAATGTTGTTTATGTATACCTATTTACAAATAGTTGATATGTTTATACACGCATAAAATAAATTCAAAATTCTTTTTAAAATATTGGAGATGTTGAATTGTAGTAAGCTTTTCCATTTATAATTAATAAATACAGTTTTAATTTAATAACAGTATTACTTTGACTGCTACAAATTAATGCAGAATTTTAAGATTTAAAAGTTTATCAATTATTCTAATTAAAATTTAAAATAAATGAAAACAATTATTCCTTGCAAAAAAAAAAGTTTTCATAAGACAATAGTGTCCATAGTAAATATATTATTAAATGCTGTTCTAATTAAATAATGTCTTAGTTTTATTGCATTTTATAATTCATGGCAGATTTTCTGTAAGTGGGATCCTGCTTGACCTAAAACATTTCATGATTCTAATTCTCTGAGGCTTTGTCTGAATAACTAATATAAACATTAATCACTAAAAAAAATAAACATTTAAAAATTAATTTAATTCATTTCTGTATAAGTCCTGAAAGTTTTATTAAAGTTCAACAATTATCTGATTTGTGAATGAATTTCAAATTCAATGTGCTTTTTACAGCAAAAAGACACTCAAATTTCCTATACAAATTTATGGTTCCACATTGATGCCAGAAAAACAAGACTTTTAACTAAAATTGCCAAAATTATTTTTTTACCCTTTCAAGAACCTTAATTGTGCCTCATGCAATTTTTTATCATACATCCTCTTTATTAGCAAATTTTTGGAGGTCCCTACATTACTCTATACCTTTAAAGAACACTTGTACTCAGAATCAGAAAGAGATTTGGCTTAAGGTCACTGAAGCTAAGCTCAAATTTCTTGGATATAATGAGAAAGGAGAATTTGGAAAAACTTAATTCTCACCGGGCATATTGAGAACAAGAGAGATAAAGGAAGTAGTGGGCCACCTGCCTGCCAAACTTGTGTGAATGGATGGCAGAGGGGAGGCCCTGAGGTGAGAAACACTGCTAAGGGTCATGAGGGATAGGAAACTCTAGAGAGACATGATCACCCACATCCGGTAGGGACATGGCACATAGAAGAAGATATCTTTAAATCAAAATGCTAGACATTAATTAGACAGATTTTTGAACTTGCACTATTCTTATAAAATCTGAAATACTTTCGCAATATTCCAGCTGATACAAAATTTAATGTTATTCCATTTATGATTATTTTTAAATGAAAAAAAAAATTAAATCACATATCTATTTTTATGATTTACTTAAACTAAAATAAATTCTATTTTTCAGAAGAGCCAGGGGATTTATTTGCCAAGAACTTTTCAATGTATTTCTTTTATTTGTCGTGAAAGGCATTTTCATTCTAGGTTTATTGATAATTTTATCCAAGGTTTTTCCCCCTCACAAAAATTTCTCATCTGTTTTTCTTTTAAATCTATTCATTCACTCAAAGTTTGATAGGTCTTTTCTTTTTCTTTCATCATATTTACTTCTTTTTCTTTTCTTTTATCTTATGCACTCATTCTTCATACTTTTAGCTTATGGTCACTGAAGCTTAGCAGCATCAAGCCTGGACAATGCCAAAATGGGTGACTGCTTGGGAATACCAAGTGCTGTAAGCTTGCTTATGTAGGCAGCATGGAATTAGAAATCTGAGAGCTGAATTCTAATTCCAGTTGGGTTCATTATATTCCATTACATGCAAATACTCTTAATAAACTTATGGATCTACCACTTCTCCCTCCGGGTATGGATTAATTAGTAAAACTTGTATTAATAAAAATCATTATTATCTCAAAAAAAAAAAAAAAAAAATTTCTTATAATCTCAAACTTTTTGCTGACTTTAGATAACTTGCAAAAGGTTGATAAGCCATGAAAACCAAATCAATCGTTATACCTTTTCTTAACTTTCCTTCGACATATTCAATTTTAATGTCTTCAGTTTTTCTTTTTCTACATTTTCTCTTACTTCTTCATTTTTCTTTCATTATTTTTTCTCCAGTATTATTTATATTTCCTTTTATTAATTCTTCAGTTTTTACTTTTCTTTCATTTTTTCTTCTATTCTTACAATTTTAAAAAATTTGCATCTCTACTTCTCCCTTATAATTCCTGATTTAAATTTTATTCTTTTTCCTCTTTCGCTGCCTCACCTTCTTTCTTTTCTCTTATTTTCTTCAGTTTCCTTCCCATTTGCTTTCTTTCTTTTTGTTATCTAGCTGTTCCATCTATATTTTTATTCTTCATCTAACCCCTCATCCCACCAGCTTTCTAAATTTTCTATTTTTACAAAAGATTTTAAGATAATATTTCAAAATATTTTTCTTTTTCATGCCTGCAGACACTTTTTATTTCTTTGTGCACAAAATCTGTGATGAATTATGAAGATCAAACTAGTTTTTAAGAAATTTTTATGGATCATTTTTCTGGTTCACTCATAAATAGTTTTGTTGATACTGATATAACAACCTTTCATCTATATAATTATATATATATATATATATATATATATATATATATATATATATATATATATTAAATGGATGTTTCTACATATTTAGTGAAGTCAAATGTTTTGCTTGTATGCGGCTTTGGATGTGACATCATTATAAAACACCAACAGCAAACATGGAGTTTAAAAAGCATTCAAAGTTAAAAATGGATAATATCTACAATTCTGCCTTGATAATGCTCAGGGGCATGAGTGAAAATACTAGATCACAAATGTTTGTAAAATATATTCCTTGCATATATTCTCTTGTATCTTGTATCGGTCTCTCTCTCTCTCTCTCTCTCTCTCTCTATATATATATATATATATATATATATATATATATATATATCATGACACTCAAAATTGAAAGAGAGAGAAAAAGGTATAAAACCAATAAGGAGAAGAGAACATATAGAGACAAGAAAAACAATGAAAAGGAGGAATAACAACAACATTGTATGTGCACACACACACACACACAATGAAAGAAGAAGGAAAAATTCAACATTGCATCAATGAAAAATACATAAATTATTTTTTTAACTCCATATAAAAGAAAACCAAGAAAATAAACAATCAATTGCTGATATCCACTTAGTGATTGCTGGATGGTCCATCTAGAAAACTCTAAAGTCGCTATGCTCAAAGTGACAAATTTTATATTCATATTAGTCCTATATCTAAATACAGGATGCCATTTAGAAAGAGCTGGATGGGTATAATGCTGATTACAAAGGTGTTTGGTGTGCTCACTAGTGATAGCAATGCTATGCCTCCATTCATCTTCCCATAGGGCGTCAAACTCAACATGGAGGCATATACCAAGTGCCTTGAGGAGGTAGTGCTGTCCTGGGTCAAGAAGGGGGCTGATGGAAGACCCTATGTTTGGCAACAAGACTCTGCACCATGCCACACAAGAAGGAGAACACAGTCATAGCTGTTAGATAATAATGTTAGATAATTTCTGTGGCCACATCACCCCTTACATCTGATCACCTAACTCCCCAGACTGCAACTCCCTTGATTATTATGCATGGAGCACAGTCGAGTGAGAGACCAACAAAACTTTTTGTAACACCAAAGATGAACTGAAGGCATAGACTATAGCAGCATTCACTAACTTAAAGAGATCATCCAGTAGAGTAGCAGGAGATTCTGAAGTCATCTGGGGGCCATGTTTGAAGCCAATGGTGATTTTATTGAATAAATTTATTCTTTTGTATTTCAAGATATTTTTATGTAATTTTGGTAAATATATCTGTTAAAATGAGATGTTAGAGTGATTTTCATTTCTGCATAATTTAGATAACAATTTATCCATCATGTATAGATATGGGCATAATAATATGATGAAGTATACTTAGGTACCTCCATGAGATTGCTAAAAAAAGAGCATAGCATGATGAAAAAGACGCCAAACTTGACGAAAACAAAATTTTATCGTCTAAATGTTTGTTATTATTAAGAGGAAAGGTCAAAGTATTTTTATGATTTTTTCCATTTTTTAAAACGTCCTAAAATTTTCATTAAAAATCTAGTTTTTTTGAGTCAGCAAAATTGACCATTTTTTCCATTTAAAAAAAACTGGAAATCTGACTTTTTGAAATTTTTTTAAATATCAATTATCATTTTTTTCAAAACTTATTTTAAGAAAATCAGAAATTATAATGTTTATTTAAAATATTTTGAACCAAAACTTGCTTTTTTAAAAAAAGATGTAATTTGAAAATAAAACAAACACATAAATGTCTCTTGACATGTGATGAATGATATATTTACGAATTCCATGAGGCTAATTTGTTTCTGGAAGGAGAAAAAGTGAAATAATTTACATTTGTGAACAAATTATTTACCCCGTTATTTTTAACGAAAACTTTCAGCGGTCTAATTTTTTTTTTTTTTTTGTACTTAGCTTTCACCTTTACGTTTATGATGCTTTATGGGAAATATATTGTAAAGAAATTAAAATAAAACTGTTAAGAGTGACATTAAATTTCATATTTCTTAAGAAAGGTATCTAATTAATTTATAGGTACCTTTCTTATGAAATTTTATCAGAATTGTACACAAAATACTATAATTTTATGTACATTTATTACATTCTACTGTTATTTGTATTTGCATTCATTTTATTATTAATTTTGATATTTCATTTATGGAAAAATGTCATAACTGAGATTAATATAAAATAAGATCATATAAATTTATAAGATGATACTGATACTTGTAGGTACCCTTCTCAGTTGAAATTGAAAAATCAAATTAACTTCTCCACACGTGTTTCGCATAAAAAGTAAAGGCCTTAACAGCGGAGAACAATGCTTAACTCAAATAACAACTTAATTATATTCTGGTTGGTCTTCCGTATTTTATAATTACAGCTCGATTATAAGCATAAAATTACATTTCTTAATTACTGGGGATCTTCTAATTATCAAAATGATACAATTTATAAAAAAGATCTATCTCATAAGGACACTTATGAAAGCCGATGCGGCTTTTAACTAATTTTATAATATTTTAACAACTTAAATGTAAAATCTATTATAATTAGTGAAATAACAAATAATTGTATTAAAAATTCATTTTTCATCAAAAAATTTTTTTGCTTTCAGAAAATATTGTCCATATTCATAAAAACAACTAAAAGCAAATAAAAGCATTTGAAATTAAATAATATCTTTGTTTTATTGAGTTTTGTATGTTACAATTCAGAGCTGATTTTCAGGTATTTGTATCCAATTAAAAAAAAAAAAAAACATGATTTGCATTCCTCAAAGCCCTGTGCTTTTAATTATTGTAATCACTAAAACCGATGCGATCGAATTTCTAGCGTTTTCATAAAAAGTTATGGGGGGGTAATAAATATTTGCAAAAAATATTTCTACCATGACTTTTTGAATAGTTCCTGAAAGTTTCATTAACATCCGATAATTATTTCTATTCACCGATTTTTCAAAAATGTGTCATACCTACTAAAATTGTGTATGTTATTCAGAATACAAATAGAAAAAAGTTTTCTTTAATCAAAATTTAGAATGTTCTAAAAGAAGGAAAATTTTTTTAAATAATTAAAAAAAGAGTCTTTCCTCTTAATAATAAATAAGCATTTAGACAATAAAATTTAGTTTTCGGCAAGGTTGGCGCCTTTTCATCAAGCTATGCTCTTTTTTAGCGATTTCGTGGAGGTACCTAAGTATAGTGAGTAAAAGTACTTAATATCAGGGATAGAGCATATGTAAACAACACTGAGATCAACATGAAGCAGCAGTGGATAAACAAGTTTAGGTTTAAGATTGTGTTCAAGAACAGTGATTCAGTGCTTTATATACATATATATATATATATATATATATATTGTGATTTCTTTCCTTATTTATTCATTTCTTCACCTCATTTGACTTTCTATGTCAAGCAAGAGCTTGTTATCTTCCAAAAATGCTTGTTATATTCATGACTTAGTAGATCCACTGGTTAAGAATGGAATAATATTTATTCAAGTAGTAAGTAATGATCAGAAGGCGATCTAGTTTCAATCCACAGTGTTGGCATGAAACTGATTGTGCAGTCATCATGCTACTTCCTATTTATTCATTTCCTTTATGAACATGATCCACTTAAGAATGGAATATATATACTTTCAATATATATATATATATATATATATATATATATATATATATATATATATATATATATATATATATAATTTTCAGAATAACTTACCATTGTAGGATGATGACTAACTTCTCCCAATAGTTTAATGCATTTGCACAAAATCATCAGGAAGTTGGAAACTGTTTTTTTGGGAAATTAAATATGGCATAAAGCTCTTTTTTCTGTTGTTGCTTTGTAGCATGCTCCCTTAGTAGTTTCTTGCTTTGTACATTACTTATTATATATATATATATATATATATATATATATATATATATATATATGTCCCTGTTAACATAGCTACATGAAATCTTGTCAGTATCAAATAATGTCAATGATATTTGAAGTTATCTTGTAAATACAGCCTGTGGTATTATGCTTAACCTTATCATTCAAGTAGCATCATCAATTCTAAAATGGTGTTGTTAGCAAGAAAGAATTAATTTTTAATTATTTTTAAAAGTTGTGTTAACAACTCTGTTTGTGATAGTCATGTTAAGCAACATTCAATCTAAAGATCTATTTTGAGTAAAGACATTAAAAATTCCTTATAAAACATATGTAATATCAGCATACAAAGAAAATTAAACCAAGTCTATGTGATGAACAAGCACTAAAAACAAATTTAAAGCATTGTGGATGAATTTAATTTTGGCAAAATATACATACTAAACTTCTGGGTTCTAATAGTGGGCGATGAAATTCTGGAAAAAAAACATCTATGTATATATATATATATATATATATATAAGGACATTTCAGAAATTGTAACAGCTAAATTTAACATTTGTTCAACTAGTTTATACTGACTAAAAATAAGAATTTATACATTAGGTTGAGTCGTAAGTAATTTTTGTTTTTGGTATCCAGTTGTAATGATCAATGTATCGTCCTAATTAATCCTTCATGGTAGTTAATAAATTTAGAGCACAATAAAATATCTTTGTTTTTGCACAGCAGTGGATTAAAGAATAAATTTCATATTCCCATTAATGAAAAGATTGAAAGTTCAATTATAAACTATTTAAGTATTAGCAATAGTCCAATGTATATTATAAAGATCTAGAT